AGCAGCAGGAATTTCTCCACAGAATAGGTTCTTAAACATTGGAACAAGCTGCCCAGGAGCTGGTGGAGTCCCCATGCCTGGAGGTGTCCAAGGAACAAATGGACGTGGGGATCCATCACAGGTTGGACCATCTGGGAGATCTCCAAACTAATCAATCCTGTGGCTCCGTGGGTCCCTCAGAGAGTGGCCAAGGCTGTGCCCCAGCAGGGACCCTGCTGTGCCCAGTTTTGATGCAAATCCCGGGGCAAATCCTCCATGTGGGCCCAGCCCAGCCTGCCCAGGGGGACACAGCTCCTGCAGCCCTCCTGAGCAGGAACCAGCTCCTCCTGCTGCTAACAACCCACACCAAAACTCACCAGCACAAAGGAGCCTTGCAGAGTTACTGAATGAAAGGAACACTGAGACAAGCCAAATAAAGCAGGAGTGTTTCAATTATATTTTACTCTTCATTAGATTGTTCATTTGAATGTTTGTATTACAAAATTAGCTGCCATGGCCCACAACGGGATGGGACTTCAGGAAAGCTGTCCACTTACTCAAAAGAGCACAAACTAGTATTTTCCTTTCAAAGAACTCTGTGGAACAATAACATATTATTCTTTAAAGCTAAATAGTGCTAAAATTTCACATAATCTACATTAGTTTTGGTTTTAAATAATTTTACCAACCATTATAAAATTAATGTATTTGCATGTATCAGGTTACAGACATTTGCATTTCAATCAGGATGATGTATCCCATGCTGGAACAAGGAGTTTAAGCAATTGCTGTTTCAACAGCAGCTAATTCTTATTGCCTCAGAACCAAGTTTCCATGAAGTATTGAACAAGAAAATGCAGGACATTGTTTCCCCACAAAACTGTTAGAAGTCTGTTACAAGCAACAATAAAATGCCTTCTGGACAGGAAGCATTTATAAAATGCAGAGCTCTCCCAGCGAAGTGCTTGCACAGGGCATTCACTTCATTCTTCCCATTTAGATTCAAAACCCTGAAGAGATCACTGACCAGATGAGGAGGAGGAATATCCTCTGAAAGTTTTCACTGGCTTGGGGAGATCAGGAATTGCAGGTACTCCACTAGATCTGGCTCCTGGCTGAAGTGAGCTGGGCAGCAGCTGCTGAGATCAGGAGAGAAGGGGTTGAGGCAAACTTGAACTGATCAAAATACTGAAGGAAAGCTGGCTGAACTGCTAACTCACCATGCACTCACTCCTGAAGGAACACTGTGCTGACATCACAGATCCCACACTGGGTTAAGTTTGCAGCATCCAAACAAGTAGGAAACTGTCCATGTATTCCATTCCCTTGGTTCAACCATCTCTATGTTTTACACACAAGCCAATCATGCCCACAGCTGACCTAATACTGCTTCAGGCCTTTGTTTGTAAAAAAAAAATGAAGATAAAAAAATCTTCTACTTCTATTAGAACTTCTATTCTACTGGGCTTAAATCCCTGAAGAATCCATACTGTGTATGGAAGGCTCTAAGTGTTGTGCCTTGATGCAAATATAAATGCACACAGTAAATGTTTATTGTGCAGTTTGCCTCCCCCTAAGTTTTTCCCCTTTCCCCCTTTCCCTCACAATAACTAAAACCAAAATTTAAAACCAAAGCATGAATATGTTACCAGCACACATGGACAGGTTTACAATCTTCTGTTTTTAAAGAACAAATGACAAAAAGCATTCAAGAATATTGCAATTTTTTTTTTTAACAGACAAGTAGCAAAACTTTGTACCACCTGGAACAGAACTGCTGAGACAAAGCTCTCCACACAGTTTGCTGTAATACTTAAATAAGTAACACCAATGCAAGAACTTTTCTCTTAATGGTTACTAGTGTTCAAGGACTCAGAGGATTATGGAGTTATGATGGTCTTTGTACCCTGTGAATTACAGTTCCACAGGTGGCAGCAGACACTTCTCACAGCACAGTCACATGGCTTTCACTTTGATTTGCTTCATCTTCATCTGCTTCTTCTCAAGCTTCTTCTGCTCACGCCGCAGAGCAGCTTCCTGTAGGCAAGGACAGGGATCTGAATCAACACAGGTGATCTCTTCAAGGACCAAGCAGATCCTTTCAGAACCAAACAACAAAGCCCTGCAGCACCGGGTTCACAGCTCACCAGGAGCCTTTGTGTGTTCCAGAAAGGAGCAGCAAATAGAAATCAAAGTTGCCAGTGCTGCTATCCCNATAGGTGCGTTTTCCATTAAGAAAAAAGGCAGAAATGAAGATTTGTGGTGCTTTGGTATAATTTCAGCACAAGCAACTCAGTCCCATCTCAGCACAGCTAAAGCCCCTGGGAGCAGCATTCCCAGACCCTTTGCTTTAATGAACATCCCAGTGCTGTTTCTTGGCTCAGAACAGGCAGCAACTTCCCACTCAGGATTTCGAACTCCTGCTCAAGAGGCCTGTCCATTCTGATCTCAGCTTTATCATTCATGACTTCTTTCAGCAATTTCACAGTCCTGGCAACAGCAAGACTGCCAGGAGAGACACACAGGCAGAGAGAAACCTCTGAAGCACAAAGGCACCACCAAGGAGATGGAAGCAGGGAGCTGGAAGCACTCATGGAGCAGTGACAGCTGGTGAGACACTGAGCAACATGTAAGTGGTTTGCTTTATTAAAAGTCCACTCCAGGGAGAGCAAAAGCCAACAAAACAGATGCAAAGAATTAAATAAATTTAATGTTAATGGTGTAGGCTGTGCAGTAATGAAAAGAATACTGTGAATTCCCTATTGAAAAGTCTTCCAGTTTGAGGTCTTCACTCACCTCTCCTCGTGTTAGCAGTGACCAATAACAGAGTTAATGCAAAACGAGCTCAACCAGAGATTTATCAACATCATACAACAGTTTAAAAAAAGAAAGTTCAACTGAAATGTCATTTATGAGGTACTGCAAAAAAGCTCCTCAGTGGTTTCACACAGGACAATTTTTGGTGTATGGTCAAAAGCAGCTGCAAAATGAAGTCCCACATGACCAGTTTTATGGCATGACATTCATTTAGAGCTGGCTTTTGGCTTGGGAGTCCAGTTTAATTTGAGGTAGATTTAAAGGAAATTAATCTTTGAAAGGCAACTAAAAATGCCATAACACCATCACTTATGTGATGTTTGCAAGGATCTGCATTTTTGCCAAATGACATTCATCTGAGTCAGGAAGAGGGAAAATCAGTTTTGTTCTGCTGTCTTCCCCTCCATCTCCTCACTCCCTCTCTCACTTCAGCATAAGCAACAAAATTTTCCTCCCACCCCCCTCCCCAAATGATGTGCCTTTCTCTACAGCTCTGGTGGGAAAAAAAGCCTTTTATTAAATGTAAAAAGATCAAAATGAGAATCAGCATGTGTGTAAATCCCAAGAAAACCCTTGGAAATAACCAAAACAGATGCTAATCTCAATTTCCTTCCATCCAAGCATGTCTAACACTCAATAGTTTCAAAAAAGGTGTGAATTTACTCAATTTTATATAAAACATTCCATATACATGTCCTGTTCTTGCCCTAAAGGGATAAATCCTGTCCCAAAGGGCCCAATCCTGCTCTGCCTTGGGACAAATNAAGGAGCAGCAAATAGAAATCAAAGTTGCCAGTGCTGCTATCCCCCCAGGCAGCCCTGGAGATCTCCCAGGAGGGATCTGCTGTGCCAGTGTTTGCAGGGCTCTGAGGATGAGGGAAGAGATGAGAATCTGACCCCATGTTTCAGAAGGTTTGATTTATAATTTTATGATATATATAATATTAAAACTATACTAAAAGAATAGAAGAAAGGATTTATCAGAAGGCTAGCTAAGAATAGAAAAAGAAAGAATGAACAACAAAGGCTTGTGTCTTGGACAGAGAGTCTGAGCCAGCTGACTGTGATTGGCCATTAATTAGAAACAACCACATGAGACCAATCCCAGATGCACCTGTTGCATTCCACAGCAGCAGATAACCATTGTCATTTTGTTCCTGAGCTTATCAGGAGAAAAACCCCTAAGGAAAGGATTTTTCAGCAAATGTGTCTGTGACAGATGTAGCAAGGGGAAGGTGCCCTCACCTCCAGCCGCCGCTGTTTCTCGGGATCCTCCTCGTTCATGATTCGCTCCTTCTCCGCCCGTTTCTTCTCCTCGCGCCGGGACTGCGCCGCCTCCTGTCTCTGCACGTGAGTCAGCTTGAGGAAGTTCTCCTCCACCCGAGCCCTGTTCTTGTCAGCTTTTTGCTTACCCTTGGCACAGAGAAAAGCAAAGGCAGTTTGTACTGATTTCCCCACAAGCAGGATGCAGGATCTCTACCAGTCGTACAGAAACAGAAGGATCCAGTGGATCCGTAAGGAGCCTGGGGTAATGGTTCCAATTTCACACCATGTCAGAAGAAAGAAAACCAGGCACTACTTACTTCTCTGTTCAGCCTGAACTTCTTTGCTTTGTCAATGGAGTAGATAACCATGCTCATCAGAGGCAGCAAAGACTCCATGTCCTTTGGGGAAGTGTTGCCTAAACCAGGCACTGAAATAAAGAGTTCCTTGTTCATTCACACAGACTGGCAGTACTCATCTGCTTGCTGTGATGCTCTCCCCTTATGGCTCACACTGTTCATGAAATAAAAATGCTCTTATCCTGCTCTTTAGGAAGCTTCATTTAGAGCTATAAGCTTCAATTTTGAAGAGATTTGAAGATCTGTTATTTTCTAGAATTCTCCCAACAGGCCACTTTTATTTCAAACCAGGTAAACCAACTGAGCCTGTGCATGTTCAAACTGCAAGGCTTGTGGTTTAAAAACAATCCACCCTGAGAGAGAGGAGTGTGAGCTGAGGTCAATACCAGCAGGACTGAGTGTCCTGTTATCAGGACAATATGCTGCTCAGTCCCCAGTGTATTGCTGCCTTCTGTTTATCAACCAATGCTCCTGCTACATGCACTGAAGTCACTCATCACACATTATCTTCCACAGGTGACAGATCGTGAGCATGTCACTTACCCAAACAAAGCCACACACCCCCCCTGACAAACAGACAACAGAGCCCTTACCATTAAATGTAAACAAAAGTGTCTTTTTAGTTTCGGGCAGTTTTGTAAGCTGGCCCTCCCTGGAGGAAAGAAACAAGTGTTTAGAAAAAGTGAAGCAAAATACAAAGTAACTAACATTGGTCTGAAATGCCATCAAGAACCAAAAGCCACTTGGAAAGTACTTGAAAAACATAAACATTAAAAGCCTGGCTATAACCCAAAGTTAAGTTTCAAACTAATCAGATTCCAGAAGTGTTTTACCCAAAAGCCTGAGGAGAAAAGGCACGAGTGTGAAAACATACAGCACCAGCCTCTCAAATGTCAAGAGGGCACATGAGCACTAAGAAAGCCTCTGATTTTGAATTACTTTCAGCTTCACACACCCCCTTGTTGTTTATACCACTAAAGATCTCTAAACATTTTAGGAGAACAAAATATTTTCTCAAGCGTTTAAGTATTCACTGCCCAAAATCCCACAGTATTCTAATGTGAAAACCTCAGGCCTACATTTCACAGATCCTCAACAATTTTAGTACAAGGTATACATACATATAAGGTATACATATAAGGTATACACATAAGCTGTCTTACAATTAAATCCAAATGTGTTCCTTTATGTTCATTTATTCATATGCCTGTGAGCATAATACACAGGCATGTGCAAAAACCTAGGTGGTAATTCAGATAAGACACATCACCCACCACCTGGCAATTGTGAAGCAGCCCCTAAAGCACCTCTGGACGAGGAGGCTCAGGGAAAAGCAGAGCTGCTGGTGTGTGTTGCTGACAGACAGCTTTATACGTACTCTTGCATAAGTTTTGGACCGGAGAACTGGTCCGAGAATTGGACAGAGTCGATCTTGTCAGCGTAGTGTGTGAGGAAATGGATCATCTGAAAGAGAAACAGGGGTTAGTTTTTCCCCACACCAATCCAGCTGCAGCCTTCCCACTCCACAGGGGTTTGCCAGGTTCCCTGCCCATGGCAGGGAGTAGGACTGGATGATTTTTAAGGCCCCTTCCAACCAAAACCATTCTACAGTTCTGTGTATCACTGAGGAAATTGCTGTGCCCAGCTTGCCACAGTGACACTGATAAAAGACATGAACTTTCCCCTTTAACTTTTAACTTTTTTAGAACATATAAGTTGTAAATGCCAGGATTACCAAGGAGTATTTGTATTCATTGATTCCAGTTTACCTTAGCGTCCATCATTCCCTCCGTGACCTCTCCCATCTCTGACAAGATGGCCAGCGAATCTGGAAGCCCATATTTTGCACCAGACTTAGGTTTATCACTGCAGAACTCACTCTGTTTCAAAGAGAAAAAGAAAAATAAACACAAGCTTGTAAGTATCTCATCAGATTGAACTGTTCTGGAAAAGATGGGCCTCTAAAAGTACCTGAAAAGAAACAATAAAAAAATACACTCATTCACTCATCCTGGCTGGGGACATTTCAAACAAAGTAAGCACACAGCATCAACAGTCTTTAAGCTAGTATTTTCCTTCAGAAGTCAGCATTTTAAGGAAGAAGATAAAACAATTCTAATACATACATTCTGGAGTGTTCAAAGTGGATTAAGGCATTTTGTTTACACTGTTTGATAACAGAACAAAAACTGGCATCCTACCAACCACACACCATGCTACTACTTGAGAGAAAAGATTTTTTTAACATTACTTGTTATCACTGGATTCTGGGCAAGCTCTGCAATTCTTTTCATGGCTTGAACATATGGAAAATTTTAATTTCAGATAATGTAAAAACAGATGACTTAAACCTAAATTTTCCACATCACATATCACTAATTGTTTACTTTTCAATCCTTGAAGTCTTTTGTGCAAATGAAACGAGGTGAAGTGACACTCATATTTGCTGAAAAAAATCTGTACTTAAACCAACTACACCCCAAAAGAAAGGTGTAAGCTGCTTTCCACTGCCTCTTTCCCTGCAGGTCTGATGGGGGGAGCATTTCTCATTATTGATTCCATTAAACTTTTATCTGTAAATGGAAATATCTTTTCCACACAAATTCCAACAGGTCAGTCACAGGTTTCCCCAAAAAAACAATGAATATGCAGATTAGATTCTTATATGCTATTATTTATCAACGTGCATGTACATACCAGGTCCTGCATCTCTTTCTGAAGTCTCACCAGTGCTTTTCTGGTTCCAACAGCAAATACATACGTGTCCATATCTTCATCATTCATTGTCACTTTTATTTGCTGTGAAACAGAATGTTATTAGCCCTGTCAGATTTCAATGTTTGTTTGATACTTTGATTCCTAAGAACAAAGACTATGCAAGGATAGACACAGCAAAGAAAAAGGTGGTTGATTTAAAGATTTTCTGTATGTCTTAAAGTAAGGAAGCTTTTTAATTAGACTGAGCACACCACTCAGTATTGTGCTGTAATGACAGTGACTAAAACAGCAGAGTTGTAAAAATAATTTGCAATTAAATATTTTGATGTAAGTAAATACAATTACTGATGCATGGGAAGAGTATTCACAGTGCACACAGTCACTGTTCTTCCAAATGTAACCTCTCTTGGCACTCAGGCTCTCTAAGAGCAAGTTGGAAGGCAAAAGGTAACATTAAGAATATAATATCCAGACCAACATATTGGTTTAAGCAGTCCTATTCAAGCAGACTTAAAAGACAGATGAACAATCACTAAGTATTTCAGATTGTAAAACCACTTCTTATCAATATGACCTCTTGAATCATGACAGACTCACAAAACCACTCAAATGATAAAATCCACAGATAAAGCAACTCCCAGTCATCAGCAGTTTGCATTTCACAGGCAGGAAGGAAATACAAACAATTCTTTGAGGTTGTTTTACTAGTTACTGAAGTGGAAGACATGGAATAGTACAGAAATCACCTGGAACAAAAGCAGCAGAGCAGAACTGAAGGAATGCAACAGTTTATCAGAGCTAATGGGAAGGGCTGAGTACGCACCACTTGGTCTGACGCCGGCCTCATCATGCGTGCCAGGACATTCAGCAGGTCCTGCCTCTTGAGAAACTGAAAACACAGAAAACAGCTGAACAGACAACAGTAAAAACCTCCTTCCTCATATCTGACCTGAGTTTTCCCTGGGTGACCAATACAGCTCAAAAGCAGGCCCACTTTCTGCATTGCAGGAGTTGCTCAGGGCTTTGTTCCCTCAAGTCAGAACAGGAACTGTGGCACTGTTCCAGCCCAGGTCCAGGGCTTTGTATTTGTCTTTGCTGCTCCTCCTTGGAATTCCTGCTGCTCCATTTATCCCTCTAAGTGGCAAATAGGCTCTTCAGCCTACAGTTACCTCTGTACACACTACACCTCTGGTTTTTATACTCTTCCTGCAAGCACTTGCTCTTTGGTGCCACCTTTGAGGGGCAGAATAGAAGTCTGTAAAGACCTTCAAATTATCAGTTTTTGCTAATGTGTGTGTGCTCAGAACTCTGTGTCTGATTGTGAGCACAAATGCCAAGCTGGGATTCCATGTTGCCCACACAGGAATGGAAAAGCCTCTAGAACCTGACAACTGGTGACACGGAAACAGCACCACAAACTCCCAAATTCTTACCTTTAACTGGATGAGCATTCCTTCACAGCACACCCTTCCAGAGCACCACAAGTTATAGATGTGTTCATTTTCTTGATTGAGTTTCCCAGTGCTTGTAGCTTCTTTACTAGTGCCATCATCCCCTGAGGAAAACAAGTGAAAGAATCTCAATCTAAACTCACAAATTGAGACACCACAGTTCAGCAGAATGTTTACAGCTCACAATAGCACAGTACAGAGAAAGATTCTCTACAGCCTAAATGCCAGACTAAACCCAGCTTTATTCAAATACTAAAACCAGATTCTTGTCATTATGAACTCACCAACAAGAGCAAAGTTACTTTCTAGCAGCTCCCTGTGAGTGTTGAACCAAGCATGAGCCAGGCGGTTGTTTTTGTTCTTGCCAATGATGTAGTTCATGATGTAAGCCAGGAGACCTGTTACCATCAGGATCTCCATGTAATAACTCTCCCAGCTGTTCTGAAGGTGAGCAGGGACCTGTGTAAGGGAACAGAAGCTGTGATTTATGTTTTGAAAAAGTGGATTTTAACACACAAAAATTTGGGAAACACAGGGTAGTGAAATTCCATCCCCAACACAGCAATAAGCTCCACAAAGGCAACAGGGGAGAGCTAAGCCCACATAAAGCACTTGGCTTACTGGGGCACAGTAATCATACAGAAAACAACTGATAACAGCATTCCCAAAATACCTGCTTAACAGAAAAAAAGTACTCACTTCCATAAAAATGGAAATGAGCACCTGATCATTCTGTGAAAGACAATTTTGGGAGGCAAAAAGGTGATGCAGGGTGGGCAGAGAGATTGGCTTCAAAAACCAACTGAGCTAACAAGTTCTGATCTGACTCTTAAGCCACAGACCAGCTAAAACCACACTGTGTTCACTGTTCAGTACCCCAGTGACATTCCTGGCATACTGTCTTAAGAAAATAAATGATGAAACTCCAAATAGACACTGGATCAACAGTTATACCTACATTAACTATTGTTATGGGGTCTTTACTTTTGCTATGAGATGCATCTGGTTTCTCTTCATACCCTTCAAACTCCTCATCATCGTACGGCTCACTCTCGGTGTCACCTTCCTGAAGGATGAAATCACAAACAGCATGAAAATCCAAAGCCCAGCAAGAAAAATCCAAAAAGAAAAAAAAAGGTGCAGAGACACTATTAGGAAACACACTGAGGAAGGAGGCAAGGCCTTACCTGTGTGTCTGCATCATCAAAGTCTTCCTGATTTTCATCCTGACCTTCAAGCTCTACAGTGGCTTCTTCTTCGTCATCTTCTGTAGTGATGATCCTCTGAGGAGACTCTGTGACTGTATCTTCACTCACATCTTCAAATTCAGCAAAGTCATTATCATCATATTCCATAATGTCATCTCCATCCTCAAATTCATCATACTTTGCCAAAGTACAGCTCCATGGGATGAACAGGACAGCGATAAAAATATATAAATTCTTCATTTTCACTGGAAAAAAAAAAAAGTCAAATCAATCATTGCAAAAAGTCCTTGTCAATTCTGTTACATCATACTTCCAGTAACCCCCAACCCAAAATGCACAATTTGAAAACACCACGAGTCAGACCAGAGAGAGAAATAAACCTGTGCCTGATCTTGCCATCTCTATAAAGAACAAAGTGCTGGTACAAGAAAAAATAACTCTGAAGGGGAGGTTCTGGACTCTGGTGCTTGTGGCAGCAGCAAATGCACATCTGGCCACGCTGTTCAAATGAGCTGAGATGGAAAGCAGGGATGTTCTGCTACAAAACTGACTCTCCAATGGCATCTCACATCCAGCTCACTTCCAAGACCACATTCTGTGCCTACAGTTGTTATTAATTAGCAATTAGGCACAGTCGGAGCATTGAATGTGTAACAGCAGCAGTAAATCTTAAAATGCACTTGGTTCATTTCAACAGCAATGCTCTGACAGCCTCTGCTAGTCCAAAATCACAGATGTGATTTTTCTAGGCTGCACACTCAAAACTAAGTTCCCACAGTGTCCCATCATGACAAAGATCTTTTGCTGGAAGTTGTGCCAAAAAAAAAAAAGGGAAGAGGACAGATATGGCATTGCTGCCCAGAACACAGGAGTAAACTGGGGCTCACGAGCCCAGAGCTCTCCCCACATCAGCCAGAACCCTGCAGAGTTTGTCAGTTCCCCTTGTTTTGCCTTCTTGTCTCTTCTGCTTGAGTTCAGAACAGTCCCAAGCTCCCCTATAGGTTGGAGCACCTTCTCCAAGGTCCAAAAAAGGCAGCAGAACCCCCCAGCTGCACTCCACAACCAGGCACAGAGGATCAGCTGCATCAGGCTCTGCTGTCAGGCTCATTTTACTCCCTCCAGCAACCAGATCCGAGTGGGAACCTGAATGTTAATCAGAGTGTTCTCTCACAAACTTAGAATAGAAATGATTTGTTTCTAAATTTGACCAGCATTCCTCTGAGTGCCTCATGCAGGGAGCCCTGCTATGAATGACAAGGACGACTGAAATAAACACTTTTGTCAAACACTCCTCACTCCAGCAAAAAGCCTCACAGAACCTTAATCAGGATGGAAAGTTCAGCAAGGCCCAGGAATTTGGAAAATTGTGAGGGAACATCACAATTTTATGTGAATTTAAGCAGAAAAAAAAAATTATTTCAATAGGACATTATTTACACGCTGTTGAAAATAACAGGACAACAGAACCTCCTGCTCTACCAATCTCTAACATTTCACATTAAGAAATCCAAGACTATTTGAGCACATCCACCTTTAGAAGACCCAACAATTCCAAATAACTTAATGCAAAATAAGCTTCTGCAGCCAATTCAAAGGGTACAGTTGAACCAGAGGTGGGTGAAGCTGGAGCATCCCCTTAGGTCAGCAATCTGTCAGAAGGGCTTCCAAGTTCAAATTCCAGGAAGCAGAACATCCTCGGCAGGCCCTCCACAACCCGCACGCCACCGAGGAACCGATTCCTTCTCCAATGAACCGATTCCTTCTCCAATGAACCGATTCCTTCTCCAATGAACCGATTCCTTCTCCAATGAACCGATTCATTCTCCCATTCCACACCGGCTGCCCAGACCCCACTGGCAAGAGAAACTATTTCCAGCAATCCTCAGGCAAACACTGCTGCTGCTGCCTGAGCTGCACATTCACCGGCTCGGGCTTGCTCGGTAAATCCCGAGCCCAGAGCCGAGCTCAGCGGCAGATTGTGGAGAAGCGCCCGTTCCCAGCAGCTCGGGCCCTCACCGGGGACACCACCCCCGGTAGGTGTTCGCTATCCCGCTCCAGGGACGCTCCCAGCTCCTTCCCGGAACACGAGTCAAGGTGAACAAGATAAAATCAGCGATCTGCCGCCCCCGGCCCCGC